GTAAATCATTGCAAGGACTAGACTATTTTGCATCTGAAGGTGCCCGTGCATTTGATGATCTACTATCCTTGACACACAAGATGGCAGAGTACGGTGCTGACAGGGAATGGGAGACATATACAACTGAAGCAATCAAAGTGGCTAAACTTTACTTGAAAAGCGACTACAAGGTAATATGATGAAATTTTGCAAAATACAAAATTTAGAKTTTTCTTTCTTACTTTGTTTCGTTCATTTCAAGGTTCATCTCGATTATGCGACAGGTGTTCCTGATYATTGTGTTGTTTTTGCGTTGAGTRATTCAAGCGATAAAGATTTCAACAAAGTCTGCGATCACAAGCACCAATACTCATGTGAGCAATGCCAAGCMCTTGCCATTACCTTAGAAGATATCAAGGCAAAGCTCAAAGATTGTACCTTTCCATCAARAGATGACGAGGATGAAGCTCTCTATACTATCCAATCCTCCACGCTTGCCATCCAGTCYTGRAAGTGCCACATACTTCGTTCTCTAAATCAAGACCAAGCGAGATATGATTCTCTGGAACTTCTTGACAATGAGACTGTGTTAATTGTCAATGACTGGGCAATGAAGTTCCTTCCACAAAAATATAGAGAATCACAGACGGACTKGTTTGGTAAGCRTGGCATCTCATGGCACATKTCAGTAGTCTATCGCAAATCGAATGGAGTCTTACAGTGGCAGGGTTACTTGCACATTATTCAGTCTAGCAGTCAAGATAGCCATGATGTCGTATGTATTATGGAAGATGTTCTTACCGCCCTAAAGCAACAGTATCCTGACATTAAAGAGGCACACTTCCGGCAGGACAACGCAGGGTGCTATCACTCGGCCGAAACAGTCTTAGCTTGCCCTATCATATCTGAGTCTACTGGAATTCAGATAAAGAGGATCGACTTCTCTGACCCACAGGGAGGTAAGGGGGCAGCCGATAGACTTGCAGCAACTTGTAAGGCTCATGTCCGCTCATTTRTTAACGAAGGTCACGATGTTTCAAATGCAAGTCAGCTTAAAGATGCCATACTGTCATGTGGAGGGATCAACGGTGTTCGGGTAACCTGTCTTCAAGCCATCGATCAAAGTTCAGGAGAAAGTTGTGCTAAAATTCCCAACATCAGCAAACTGAACAACTTTGAATTTAACGSTACAACTATCAAGGCATGGCGAGCGTATGGAATAGGAGAAGGCAAAAATATTGCAATTGACAAGCAAAATGCTGGTATGCTCTTCGTCTATTATCTTCTTGACTTTTATTCATTATTAGTTCATTATTTATATTTTACTGATATCTTATAAATATAATTTGTACGCTCTTATTTCAGGACATTACAAGTGGCTCCATTCGACATTTTCTCCTGGTGATTTTAAACCTTTCAGTAGCAGGTATTGAAAATGATCATTTTTATAAGAGGGTTCAAAGTGCCGTAGTTTGATTGTGCCATTTCTTGAAGGCCATTACCATGGTCAATGTCTTTCGTTTTTCTTTTCAGTGCAAGCAAGACGAAAACGCAAAAAGASAGTGAACAACCTGTTCTACCTGCCGATGCACCTGTTGGTATAGATTCCGTCGATGCTTCAAGTCAGCATGTCTTCACCTGTCCTCAGCAGGGATGTACAAAGGCTTTCCAACGGTATTCCTCACTAGAGAAGCATTTGACTGCAGAGAAGTGCATTCGATCAACAGAAAAGCTTTCAATGCATGACCTGGCCAAAC